TAATTTTTAACATTTGAAGTTCAACTTTAGTTCTTCTAAATATATACACATTTATTTCCTTGTCCTCTTCATTTTAATCTTTGTTTGAAAACAAGAGTGCAGTGAACATTAGTAGCTGTTGGACCTATATTTCTAGAGGGTCAGCTGGTTTGGGCAATTTGCTGGGATGAGATTACAATGTGTGCTAAGGGCTGCAGAAGGAATAGACAAACAGACAATAAGACAAACAGATATCAAGAGTCTCATTGGACCAAGAGTTAGCAATCTAGACAAACAGGCATCAAGCTATCAGAAAAGTAGAAAGTCTCTAGGTCAAAAGGAAAACAAGCATAATGATAATTCAAAGTCCAAGGCAAGAAGTCTGGAATCAGGAAGATAATTGGAGTGAAATGGATGGGACAAAAGAAAATAGGAATATTGGAGACAATGTTCATATAAATAAACGATCGGTAAAGTTGCTTTTTTCCCTTACTAATTGTCTAATCTTAGGTATCTGAAGTAATAGCCTTTCAATGAAGTCCATAGATTTGGAAACAACAGTTAATACCACCCAACAGAAGAGAAAAGTTCTAGGAACCAGGCATAAGACCTGGTGAAAAATTTTCAACAGATATGTAATATAAATAAAAACCTTTCTATCATATCATAAGGCAACCAACTACTCACCTTTGTATACTTTCACGATATCTAGTATTAGTAGCACCTTATGTATGGTCATCATTTAATCATTTCTATAACCAGACTGAAAAGTTTCAAGGCCTTATGTATTAGTTTATAGTGTGTTTACGAGTAAACACACAGAGTTTACCTTTTTGCTATGAGCACCATCATTTTGATGTATTAAAAAGACAAATGAAATTATGTGCTTGAAAACAATTATGTTGTTACTCATAAATATAAAAAATAAGTTTGTTCATTGCTAATGGGCGGTCATATACGATAAATTCAACATCCCATTCTAATTACAAATGAAGTCCCAGAAATTTGATTTAGTCTTTTCTGTCAGTTATTACATTACTCCTAAAGAAATAACTTGCTGTGGAACAGTTTTAAAATAGATCAGTGAGAAATTAGCTAAATCCAATAGAAGTTGGATTTTTTTTAACTTGAAAGCATTTGTTTTAAATATTCACATAATATTCCTTGGCAAGTCCTTTCCCATACCATTTTGTGTTGCATTGGCATACAAAAGAGAACTTTGCTGAGCTGTTAGGGCAAACTGCTCTGGAGGGTGAAGTGCATGACTGTATATGGTAAACAGTATCATATAACTCATATACAAGTGCTTTAATGGTTTCCTTTTATGGCTTTTCAGATTGAACTTTCAAGGACAATTGTAAATGGCTTTTTAAAAAACTTTGCAGTTGAGTAAAATTAGTCTTAAAATAGTGAACACCCACCTGCCCACACAATTTTCATTTTAACTTTTAAGGTAATTTGCTGATTGGTCATTAGATGTTTTTACAGTTTTGTTTGTGGGACATCTACTTTAGATCCCTTGAAAGTATTAAAAACAAGATTTCTAGGTTTCTCTCTCATCATGCTCAGTCAGAATCTGCAGGAAAACCTAGGAATTCTCACTTTAAATAAGCTCTCCAGGTAAATTACACACTGTCAAGCTTAAGAACTTCAGAACATATACCTTGTAAGATAAAACAATAACTGGAACAATTTCTGCTTTTGAGAGTTTGTTGCTATCATTTGTTTGGACCTCGTCCTTCAGCTTCTAGCCTATGGAGGCTTGGTATTTATTTGTACTTCAGGTGGTAGCCTGAATATTTATATATACTTATATTTACCTTCCAAACCAAAAGTTCTTAGATATACCAACTCTGCAACAATTAGTATTCTATCTTTATGAAAACAAAAACCTCCCCAGGCCTTTTTCTTCATTTGTAAACAAAGAGGTTGGATTAGGAGTTTACCATAAGATCTGTCTGACATAGAACTCTATGAAAGTTGCTTAGCAATTATCCATTTTTAATTTTCTTCTCCATCAGCACAATTCACGAAGAAGCGAAATCGAGTGCCCATGAAATCGTAGCACCTAATAGAAGTTAGGTGTAAAGAATTGTGTGAAACTTGAGTGCTAAGAAAATAAGCCTAGCAAATGTTTAAAACAATTTGAAACAGTACTATATACCGATGATTTTCAAAGATGTCTACATTAGAATCATTCTGGGAGCTTTTAAATATCCAGTTGCCCAGGTTATACCCCCATTAGAAACTCAGGGTCAAGTTCAAGCATAGTATTTTAAAACATTTCCTGGAAAGACCAATATATAACCAAGTTTGAAAGCCACTCATATATAGTAGTTTCAAACATTTAACATTACTAGACATTGTAAAATTTGCATGTATTATTTATATGGGATGGGTTTCATTATGACATTTCCATATATGTATACAAAGTGAAATATGGCATGTTTTTGCTCATTTGTGTAATCTAGACATAGAAAGATCCATATATATACATAAATATTAATTGACTGTAAATTTGGGACTGCTTGGGGAATAAGTTGAAGAGGGATAGGGAAAGAACATGATGGAAATGAATGACATTGGAATGCACTATGTATGCATGGCAAATAGAACCTCAACGAAAGCTGTTGTATAATTGAGAGAAGAAACTGGGAAAGATAAAAATATAGAGGTTAGTTTGAAAAATTATTATACATATACACATGTGAAACACATCATGGTGAAAACCCCTTTGAACAATTAATGTACAATAAAAATGGAAAAGATGGTAGGAAAACAGGCTCTGTGGGAGGGCAGATATCAGTAAGAGGGAGGAGGGCCAATGAAGAGGATGAATATGGTTGAAGTACTTCATATGTACATATGAATCTACATTTTTTAATTACTTAAGCTTGATATCCAGTATATGAATAAAGGTATTTGCTACACTTAAATCAGTGTTTTGACTGAATAAAAATATGAATTTTAACATTACCTTCAAAATTTCTGTTGAATACATCTACCTCTCTTAGTGTTGTCACCTAGTTGGTATCATTGTTTTCAGATTTGCTTTTTGCATGAGTAGGATATCTTTAACTTCTGTTCAAAGACAAAATAACAGTGGCTTCAATAAGACATAAGTTTAGTTTTTCATAAAGCCAAAATAGAGTAAAAATACCAAGCTAGTAAGGCAGCTCCATATGAACAGAGGTTTAAGCTCCTACTAGCTGATGGCTCTACCATGCCTAGGGTGTTTATTTTCTCTGTGTAACCTAAGGCATCTAAGCACAATATGCACAATGGAGCTAGCAGAAACAGAAGGAAGAAGAAAGGTACATTCTTTCCTAATTTCGGTGGGAATGGTTCCAAAACTGCTTTTGTACATATCACATATGCTTACTCTCATTAGTCCGAACTTCGTTATTATGTCATACCTAGATACAAATGAAGCAAGAGAAAATATTTATTCTAGACAGCAATGTGTCCAACTAAAAAACAGAAATATATTACTGCTGAAGAGAACAGGCATTGGGGAAACTAGCAGTCCGTGACAAAATCTTTCTAATTTACTCTCCAATAGTGACCACTGTAAAATATGAATGGAATCAGGACACAAATCACTAAGTATCTCCCCTGTGCTCTAATTACACAAATTAAAGTCCCTAGTATGTCTGAACATCAATGGCTCACACCTAGGGAAGATTGTCCAGGCTAGTCCTGGCAAAAAGATCTGTCTCAGTCTCAATACAAGGAAGCTGGATGCGGTGGCTGTGATTGCAACTCAGGTGTTGAGTAGGAAGCAAGCAATGTGTGTGTGTGTGTGTGTGTGAATAGCTTCACATACGCCTACATTCCATTCAATAAACAAATGTCTTCAAACTCACATGGAAAAGTCATCTTGGATCAACAAACTATATATAGAACAGCACCTCAATATGGAAGAGACAATTTGATGCATTCAAAATGAGACCAAAAACATTATTACATATTAACTTTATTAATACACTTAAATAGTAATACAAGAAAGATTCACAAATTTAACACGTAAACAGTTCCAAAGAATAAAAGATTCTACAAGTTTATGGAAAAACTTCAGTATGCTTTGGAGTTCAGAGGCTGCTGTGTACATCAAAGTGTATAGAATAGGAAGTGATGAATTACAGGGCTATACAAGGAATGCCCATAAGTTTAATAGATTAACCACATTCAGAAAAACTAAAATTGGTTGTTGTTTTCGCTCATCTAACAAATCACATAGGTGTCAACCACAGGAGATGCAAGCAAAGGGGGCATTTACACTTAAGATACAAAAAACAAGATTGAAATAAGTTCCATTAGATACTGTTTTTCTACTTTCAATATGACCACTTGTGATATTAATATTAGATAAAATTTCACTGTCTTAACCCATATTACATATGCCAAAAACTACAAATGAGTACAGCAAGTATTGACATACTGTGACTTCTGGATTTAACATCACACACTCATCAAAATATTTAGAAATTCAAAGTATATTAAATAACAATACAGAGTGGAAAAATGTTAAGACACTTTACAACTGAATAAATTTCAAGATGGGACAGGGACCATTACAGTTCACGTGTGTTTTTGGAAATAGTGGAATCTATTTTGCTGGTAGGAAATGCAGGTTGGCCACTTTACAGGAATAAGAATTTAATTTTCAAACTGTTAATTCAAAATTTGCAATTATATGTGATTCAAATTGTAAGGATCCAAAATATCTATAAAATCTCTTGTAAGTTGGGGTAACTTATACTGAGATTTTAGAACAAGTCACCTCACAAAAGTAACATTGAACATAAATTACTGCAAGTCAAGATAGTAATTTTGTAGAAGTCAACTTTTGGCTCAAAAATTATTTTGATGACTTTTTTCAGTAATGAATCCAATATAAATTACTTTGACCCAAATATGGGATGAACACATAAAACCAGCGAGTTCCCTTTAGAACTTATGTAATGCTGAAACTATCAACAAAAATATTTATACTCTGTAATACTATCATTTGTCACTTTTTAAGGCATATTTTTTGGAGAATAAATTTTCTGCAAACAGACTTCTACTTTATTGTTACCCAAATTACAGATATCTAAGATACCAATGATGTGGACTCTATCCAATTCAGCTGCTGCTTTTATAATATCACCTAAAAGTGAAAAAAAAGATGGTAAGTATTGTAACATATTTAAATATTTAGTTGGAGTTAGAATTACATAAGCTGATGATTTTTTTTCTTACAATAGTAACGATGCCCTAAATCTTCTCCTTCTCTTCAATCTGCCATATGCATTGATCAAATGTACTATATAATCACTTCTCCAGATAAAGGTCAACATCTTACCCACATGCCACCAATAATGTTAAGACGTGGTATTCCAAATACATTTATGCTTTTTCACCTTTTGCTTTTGGTGAAGCAATATAAATACATAAACCTATGTATTTTTGAGGTCATGTATAAGGATTCAACTGAACAACTTATTACATATCAAAAAATGCAAAGGTAAGTGTTCCCATTGTGAAATTCAGTTATTTTTTTGCAAAATCTCTAAGTCAAAAAGCAAAACAATGTAGATCTACCTTCACATTATGTTAATTATCTGTATGTGCACATGTATGTGTATGCATAGAGATGTATGTGCAAATAATTGAGGTTCTTCTAAAGTTTATTTCCTTTGAATTGGCTTTATCAACTAAGAGCTTACTCTGACAAAACTTTATGAAAATGAATCTGGTGAATGATATCACTGATCAAAGCTGAGCAGAGAATTCCAGGGCTCTCTGTCACTTCACAAAGCATATTTTATAAGCTGTCAAAACTCTCAGAATCAACATTTGTCAAATTCTAGAATACAGAGAAAGACTTACAACAATCAGGGCAAAGACTGATAAAGGAAGAAATTTCTGCCTTGTTGAGAAAGTGTCATGGTGTTTTAAATTGCCTATCTACCTACCTTTACCCCTTAGATAATTGGCAGCTTATAATCCTGGTGGAAGTTACTTGTAGTAAAGGTAACAAATACAGATGTGGTTGGATGTGAGGATTTGTCTGATAGCTCCCTTGAGGACAGTTGCAAAGGCTTGCTTTTGCTTTAAGCAATTCAGCGCATTCTCACAGCTGGGGTGCCTCTTCCTCAAATGGCTTTTATTGAAAGTATATTGGCCAGAGAAGTTGAATAGGATAGAATTTTAGGGTAAGAAATTAACAAACTGAAAGTCCAGGGCAGGAAGAGGCTAGAAAAAGAGATATATAAGGGAACAAAAGCTCCCGTGTACACTTGGGAATCAAGATAGACATATGTAAGGCCAGGCACCTGTGGCTCGTGCCTGTAAACACAGCTACTCAGGAGGCTGAGATCTGATGATCATGGTTCGAAGCCAGCCCAGGCAATTAGCTACCAAATACCTGGAAGTAGAGCTATGGCTCAAATGGTAGAGTGTTAGCCTTTAGCAAAAGAAGCTCAAGGACAACGCTCAGGCCCTCACTTCAAGGCCCAAGACCAGGCGCGCGTGCACATACACACAGACACAGACACAGACAAACAGACACAGACACAGACACAGACACACACACACACACACACACACACACACACACACACACACACAGATGGCCATATGTATACACCCAGGGATTGCTATGTGCTTAGAGAGGCCTGAGAAAACTCTGATCATTCACCACTGGCTGACCATCAGGGTCTGAGTAAGCAGGAAGTGAAGGCTAAGGCAGAGTTATAAATAGCAAGACTAAGTGTTGAAAACGTGCTCTGATGAAGGTCTAACCTTCAAATTTTCTTTTCTTTCTTCATTTTCTTGGCTACCTATGTTTAATGAAACACTGTCAAAATACTAGACAACATTAGTTAACTACTAAGCTAATTAACCACAGATTTCAGTTACTACTCATGAAAAACACTTTATTCTAAATATGAGAAAAATGAAAGCACTTAGAGGTTATTAAGTAACAAGCAAAGTCATACAGTTCTAATCTAGATAGTATGAGGTGTCAAAGTCTAGAAGGGGAGCTAGGTTCTATGGTGCCTGAAGGATATGCTAATTAGAAGCCTTTTATGAAAACAAAAGCTTTATTAGCTTCACAGTAAATTCTCCCCTGCTACATACACTAGACAAAGCAAATGAAAACTAAAAGAATATTAGAATGAATGCTGAAACTATCTAGTTTTCTTCTGCCTTGAATGGAGTATACTTTAATCCATATATTTTAGAAAGATTTCAAGATCTTCAAAATTAGCAACAAACAAAATACTAACACTTCTAATTGTTATCACATTGACTCTTACAAATAATGATTTACATACCACAACATAAAATCTAAGTCTTCATTTCATGTGACTGTGATTTATATACTACTTTGAGCAAATGATATGCTCTGTAAATCTCAATTTATCGAATGCCTCCTTCATACAGTGTTTTGAGGATTAAATATATATGGATCTCTAGAATAGTGGCTAACTGATAACGAGCCATACACAAATATTAACAGTGATCACTTTTACTTGACATATTTTACTTAATGAAATTAGAGTATTATTTCTATCACCAGTGTCTTTATAAAGGACTACTCGTTTTCCCTATAAAATGAGCTTTTGTATATTTTACTTTAAATTGCTAGAATTTCAAGAATTGTTTGCTTTTAGGAACATCAACAGCAGGGCACCTATAGGCTTCCACCTATAATCCTACCTACTCAAGAAGATGGGATTTGAGGACTGTGGTTCAGTCAGCCCAGGCAGAAAAGACCAGACTCCATCTCCAATTAACCACACACACAAAGTATAAAGTAAACATAACAAAGCGAAGGAAGGGGTGACAGTATTAAAAAAGAAATGTACTCATTGCCTGACATGTAACTGTAACCCCTCTGTATATTACTTTTACAGTAATGACTATATATATTTATATATACTTATCACTTTTACAGTAACGATTATATATATTTATATATATACTTATATATTATATATATAAAAATTAGGGCACCAGAGTCTTCTTTTTTATATATAAAATTACACACACACACACACACACATATGCACACGCACACACACACAAAACACGAAGAGGACTCTGGTGTTCTGTTTCCTATTCTTGGTCATAGAGGAAGAAAAATTATCTTGGTCTCCTTGTAGCTGGATTGGTACCATGTAACTGAATTCTGTCAAATGAGAATATAAGTGGGAGTGATATGGCACTCTCGGTCCAAGGTCATTGAAAACTTATATCTTCTTCATCTCTTCATTCTGCTGCTTTGCAATCTTAGAAGCTATTTGCTCCTGCTGGGGCAGGATGCAAATTGCATTGCATTGCAGAGGGATGTACCATGCAATCCCAGAAAGAGAGCTGCTGACTCTGACACACTTTAGCAAGAAATAAACTTCTGAGTTTAAGTCACTCTGACTTCAGAGTTGCTTTTTAACTATAGCATAGTCAAACGTATCTTGTCATATGGGGTGGTAATAATCCTGTCTCTGATAGCAATATGGGAAACCTTGATTACCTAGAGAATAAAATTGTTTTCTTAAATGTGTGAAAATTCTTCCATATTATGCTATACTTTAAAAATAGTAATGTAATACATTTTATATTATGTCTTCGTATCCTTTCAAAATGGAAAAGGAAATGCATATCCTTATGTATTATAATTAAAGATGATAACGAAGAACTTCCTATTAGTAAGCATTATTCAATAAGCTATCTGGGATAAATGGCTAATCATATGGAGAAGGCTAGCATTTCAAATGGTGTAAAAGATATAAAAATGAAGGCATCACAATAATATCTGGTCCTCCTAAAATTTAAAATATGCACAAAGGACTTGAATCTTTTTCTAAGAAGATGTACAAATGAACAATAAGCATATGAGAAGGTGCTCCCCATCAATAGTACCTAGGAAATACAAAAGAAAACCACAATGCCATACCACCTCATACCCATCATTAAGAGGGGTGTTATTCAATTCGAAATGAAAGAACTAACTAGTATTAGTACCGGTAGTATTGCTGGTGGAGATGTAAAATAATGCAGATCAATAGCATGGCAGCATCTCAAAACCATTAAGCCTGAGATTCCCATGTTCCCCTTTAAGATAGTTCCAAAAGAATAGAAAGCTGGAACTCAGGTACTTGTAAACAAATGTTCATAGAAGAATTATGTACAAGAACCAAAATGTTGAAACAAAGGCTGGACATCGTGGTAAGTGCTTGTAACCCAAGGCTTGCCAGAGGCAGATATAGAAGGATCTTATTCTAAGGCTGGTGTGGGTGAAAAAGAAAAACTTTATCAAAATGATGAAAGCAAAAAAGGGCTGAGGGGTGTATACTAAGGGGTAGAATGCTTGCTTAGGAAACACTAGTCTCTAAATTCAATCCAATACCACTTAAAAATAAACACCAAAATAATAACAAAAAAACCAGGGCAGGTGCAGTGTTCACATCTGTCATTCCAGCAACTCATGAGGTGGAAGTAGAAGGATCGCAACCAAAGGCCAGCCTAAGCAAAAGTGCAAGACCCTATCTAAGTAACAAAGCAAAAGCAAAAGGTCTGGGCATATGGCTCAAGTGCAGAGTGCCTTCTTAGCAAACAGAAAGCTCTGAGTTCAATTTCCGGTACTGCAAAGTAAATAAACAAATAGAAATCAAGCCAAATTCCCATTAAGAATTAAAATGAATGGATAAACAAAATGCATTATATACTACAATGGAATATCATTCAGGTATAAAACTAATGAAATCTTGATATCTATTGCAACATAAGTAAACCCTGTCATTAGTGAATAAGCCAGATACAAATATTACAATGATAAATTTTGTTAGATATATTTGGTAACAATAAACATGTGAGTAAAAATAATGAAATTAGAAATAGTGAAGAAAACCTTATTCCTTTTTGAGTATAACAAAGAATGAGCAGTCACAAAATGAAAAAATGATATATCTGAGCACATAAAAACAAAATGACAGCATATCAAAGCAAACCTCCCATTGAATAAAGGATAATCTTGGTGAAACTATTTGTAACATATCATAAAGGGTTAATTTTAAATAAACTTCTAGAAAATTCACAGAAATATAAATAACTGTGAGTAGTTAGGCCAGATATAGAGGCTCATAACTAATCTTAGTTATTTGGGAGGCAGAACTACTGTGACTGGTCAGCACACAGTTTTGAGTCAGTGATTTCTGGAATGTATGCTAGCAGATATACTTACATAAGTGTATAAAGAGTTTGTATATATTTAAACACATATATGGTTAATCACTACAGTATTATTTGATAATAGAGCAAAATAGAAGTAATATAAAAGTTTGTAAGAAGGGAACTAGTTAAGTACATTTTTGTATAGACACATGAAAATACTTTGTAGTTACTCAAAAGAATAAGGTAGATCTCTCTATACTAATATGACAAATGTCCAAGATGTACTATCAGAGGGAAACAGCTATTCATAGACTCATCAGTTTATATAATTCAATTTTTGCATATGTGAGATAGAGAAATATAACAGATACTGTTATATAAGAAATAAGTTCTTGGGGGGGAGGGAAGTGTAGTTGTGGAGGGGGAGGGAAGGGATGGTACGGGAAAAACAAAGGAGGAGGTAATAATACTTGATAGGAAATGTACTCATTACCTTGCCCATGAAACTTTAACCCCTCTGTACAGGATTTTTACAATAAAACATATTAAAAATAAAAAAGAAATAAGGTCTTAAAATGATTAAAAGATATTGGTTATCTCCAGAGAGTAAATAAGTGAGTTGGTAGGGTGGGTTAACTTCGGAATGCAAGGAGGGGAGCTTTTACTTTTACCCAGAATCTATCCATACTATTTGAATTTTTAAAATTATTAACATTTATTGCTGTTAGAATTCAAAAAGAAAATAATTCATAAGATGTTTAAAATATGACATCAATATTATACTATGAAACATTTTGTTTTATATTTCTTTATTAATTTACTTTATTGTCATTATAGACATGAGATAAAGAGAGATTACAATTATATGAGTCAGGTAATGAGTACATTTCCTTTGGTACAGTGTCTTCTGTACCCTCATTCTCTCCCAGCCCCTCCCTCCTGTCTCCACCCACAAGTTATATAGTTCACTTTCATCGACATCCAGTGAGCTTCACTGCTGTACTTTCTCACCCTTTTTCCCTTTGATACCCTGCATCTTGTATATACATTTGTCTAATCTGGGGAGGGGAAAAGGAATAACAAAATGATGAACCAAGGACACAGGATGACCCATTGCAACAAGGATACCCACTGGGCAGTATATTGGAAATGAACTTTACAACTATTTACAACTATATCTTTCATCCTAGAAAATCCTGAAAAGTACAGAAAGGTTTGAAGTCAGACAACTCTGAGTTCAAATCCTGCCTGTGTTACCCATGCTGTAGATAGGATTAATTGCAACCTATGTAAGAGGCCCAGGAACACTGCTGGCACAAAGTTAAATGGATATTACCATTGTTATTAGTGCTACCTCAAGAAAAACTATGGTATTCCACTCAAATTTCTTTGCTTTAGGTTACTCTTGCACTTTTCTTCCCTTATAGATTCTTGTCCTTTGTGCCCAAATACTAACTGTTTTGGCAGATTGGTCATGTTAGTATGGTAATAATGACTGGAAGAACATAGGTACTGCAACAAGCAAGCACTAACAACTCTAACCTGATATTTTATATCAGTAACAGCATATACATATAACCGTATGTGAGAAAAGTGGATACTGGCTGGGCACTAGTGGCTCATGTCTGTAATTCTAGCTATTCAGGAGGCTAAGATCTAAGGATCCTGGTTCAAAAGCATCCTGGGCAAAACAAACAAACAAACAAACAACCTTTGTGAGGCTCTTATCTCCAGTTAACCCTGCACACCATTGCCCCCCCCCAAAAAAAGCTGAAAGTGGAGCTGTGGCTCAAGTAATGAAGCACTGGACTTGAGAATAAAAAGCTACCTGGGCTCTGAGTTTAATTCCCAGGACTGGCACCAATAAAAAAAAGGAAAAGACAAGAAAAGTGGGTGTTATATGAAATAATAGGAATAAACGGCCTGTTACAGCACTAAATAAGAAATTTGGGATTACTGAAGGTTTAGGGAGTTGTAATACTGCACACTATCTAATATTTCACTTCTAAAATGGACCACAGGAAAAAAGAACTCATCTCATAAAATTATATATTCTCACATTCGGTTTGCATAACTATTACTGTGAAAATTATTTCATTGTCAGGTAGAGTTCATACAAGTTTTTCAAAAACAACATACACTCAAGATTTTATCAGCTTAGAAAGACTCACCACAAAATCCCAAGATAATAGAAGTAATAAAAGAGTTTCTTAGCCCCTTTTATTATCTGTTATGATAAAACTCAATGAAAACGTCTAGGATCTTTACCATATGCTTAAGAAATAGAAATGACAACAGAAAGTGACCAGGATGATTCTAATTGGATAGATACTTGATAAATGTATACAAATAACTTAAAGTCTTGTATATTAGGTAGCAGTAGTAACAATTATTTGATTGAAGAATTTCACTGTTGGGATTATATAAACTCCTTGTTGTCCCCAAAGAATATATTGAATAGCAGTTGAATAATCATTTAGAAAACAATTTTACTGTACTATATTATATAGTATGTATTATGATTTTAGACAATTATTATGTAAAAAGACCAAGTGTCTCACCTTAGCTGAAAGGAGAAAGTACATTTAACAATATAAGCCATTAGTTAAACTATATTAAGTTTTAAGGGTACAACTGTTTACATAACAATTTTTTTTCTGAGTGATAAGAACACTGACACTGTCTTACCTGCCAGTGCTCTGGGACTCAGCGTTCGTTCATTGACAGGTGTTGCTACTGGATATACACAGCTGTAATTCATGCAGGTCAACAATGTGTCTACTTGAGATGTTTGAACGTCTTCTGGACAAAACATGGGTAGGAATGCAACATCAATTGCTATTTCATGGTTCAGACCTGTTGGAGAAAAACCACACATTACTACAAGTTCAGTAGGTGAATATGGAATCATGAAGGCCAGGTTTGTTGGTTTAATCATAACATGTGTCCAACAGTTTCAGACCTCGAAAAACTGTTTACAAACTGGAGATTGAACTCAGCTTTGCAAACAATTTATGAACACATGCCCTTGGTCTCTTTTGGAACTTTATTGCAACCTATCACCGTGCTAAAACCAATTCAAAATGTTTTCCCTACTGATAGATAATGTCTTACTGTCCACAGGTTAGCCTTGTCACAAAAAAAGAAGACATGCACAGTGTTTCCTTGGACATTCCTGACAGATGCCATGATGGGAGTGGAAGGATCATAGAGGACTATTGGTCCTCCTACTGCCATACTCCAGCAAAGCAAAGAATGGCAGTAACTAAGTCTCATCTGTGTTCAAATACACAACAAAAGGTTCCCACATTCACCATTAAGGCTAATAAAAGGCTGCAGGAGAAAAGGGCAAAGAGAGCACAACCAGTGTCCTGACCTTCAGCTGTCGTGTCTTAATGTGCATCAGTATTGGCTAGGATAAATAGCTAAACAGAGGGAGAGCGTTTTAGGCATACAGCGGGCAGCATAAGCCAAAGGTATTGTCCCTAGGAAGGGGGCTGGAGCAAGAGTACAACTTTATTTATTTATTCATTTTTATTGTGAGAATACCATACAGAGGAGTTACAACTACATGGGCAAGATAACGAGTACATTTCTTATCAAGCAACTTTAAAACTGACTTCCACCTGGTTCCCCAATCTAGAAATTCAGGTATTATCCATTTTTGTGGTGTATTTAGTCATTGAGATTCAATAGCCTTAATATTTCTTTTTTAAATCCTTTCCTGTGATTCTGAAGTAGTGAGTATGTATGGGCCAGTGATGGGTAAATAAAGTCACTGTTAAGCTGCAAACATTCAGAAATACAAGTCCTTTGCTTTTTGTGAGCAAATAACACTAAATCCCATAGCTTTAATTTAACATACAATTAAAGGCTGGTTAAAGCCTTTGAAGACCTACTGATATTTGGGATTCATAAAGTAAAATAACCATGTTATCAGAATTTCCTAGGATTGTAACCCACAGCTCTCAGCAATGCTGTAAAACCCTTGAATAAGAACATGTTGGCATCTTATTTCTTTGAGTCTGAGACTAAATTTAACTCTATGTGCCATCAATTTAATAACAGCTTTGGTATAAAGCAAACATAGCATTAAATGTACCCATCAACCATACAATACATTCTCACTTGTAAATGTAAAAAATATGCATACCACTTCCACCAATGTAGGAGAATCAATGTACCCAGTGCCATTTATTTAGTTGTACAAATTTATTTTTGTCAGTACTGGGGTTTTGAACTCAGAACCTTATGAATGCTAGGAAGGTACTCTATTGCTAAGCCACTCCTCTGGCCATATTTTTACAGATTTTTACCCATATACATTCAATCATTAGAAATCAGAGTGCACAGATTTATTAAATAATAGAATGAAAATGTACTCCTTTACAGAAATGCTTGGTTAAGATATGATTAATGGTTATAATGATTATATTCAGTAGGAAGCAACTTTCTCAAGGGTATTTTCATTCTTTAAGAAAGAAAAGTGTAGTTGAAGATTCAGATTAATTTGTTATTTGTGCTATATGTACAATAACTTCGTGTGTGTGTGTGTGTGTGTGTGTGTGTGTGTGTGTGTGTGTGTGTGTGTGTGTGTGTGTGGTGTGACTTGAACTTTGAAAAAACAGGATGTCTATATCTGAGTGTTGGTTTTCTCTGCAAGAAATATATGTTTAGATTTAGGAGACATAATTTTTAATCATGGACTGCCTTGTACCTAATCAGAGGGTAAAAATAGAGGACATATAACTTCCTTTAAGCTCTAAAATTGAATGTGAAATCAGAAACAAAACAAAAAAAAGGGAACAACCTAAAGCCCCCTTTTCTGAACCTTCCTGCCAGAAAGTTCAGGGAAAAAAATCACTGCAAAAAATAGTAATGTGCTTATTTGTAAGAACTATTTTTGCGTTCCTTCCAAAATGTGCTTTGATTTTATTCAGAAATAGCTTCTTTTATCAGCTTTTTTTTAGTCTGTAAACTATTTTTGAGAACAGGTAGGATATAATTCTAACAATGATTAATTACATCTGGTGAATTAAATGTTTGTGTTTTCACATTTGATTCTTGCTTTCAGCTGATTTACAGCCAATGTCACAAATGGTTACAATTACATGTAAAGCAGCTGTCTAATCTGTTCCAATGGGTCAGTAAAATGTTAAAATGAAGAAAAAATTCCAATTTTTGTGGTTCTAGTTGAATCCTTTGTTTCCATCCTAATGTTAGTGATATATGGGGAATCTTTTATAAGTTTTGTTTCCTCGATATAAAATTAAGATTGATAAACTACCAGAACAGATAAAGTAAATACAGTCTAGTGAGAAACACCTGAAACTTAGGTCTCTAATAATCACTGGAAATTCATACTTCTTAGAGACTTTATATGAACTCCCCTAGATGTGTACACAATTTCTGTGTATGATGAAGTAGAGAAGAATGTGCAAAATAAAAGGGATAAGGAAAAATTGATAAAACTCAAGGCAGTACCATATACTACCATCAATGGGAAAATCCATGATGTGAAGTTTTTCCAGACATTAAATTAATGTTCTTATAGGTTTTCTCCATTGCTTCATTTTTAAGATAACTAGATCTGGTGCTAAGATCTTCCTATGAAACACAAATAAAAGCCTTGACTTGGGATTGCTTTGGCTAATATTTTAGTTCAGAATTATTCTATGTGCATTTTTCATTTATCACATTTTTTGTGTACGTGTGTGGGTCCTGGGACTTGAACTCGGGGCCTGGAGGCTGTCCTTGAGCTTTTTTTTTCCCTCAAGGCTAGCACTCTACAAATTGTGCCACAGTTCCATTCCTGGACTTTTGGTGGTTAATTGGAAATAAGAACTTCACATACTTTCGCACTCATACTTGCTGTCAACCACCACCCTCATTTGCTAAGTTTACAGGGATGAGCCACTGGTGACTGGCTTTTAAATGTTTTTGTTTGTTTGTTCAGCCCAGGGCTGAACCCTGGGCCTGGATGCTGTCCCTCAGCTCTTCAGCTCAAGGCTAGTGCCCTACCAATTGAGCCACAGTGCCACTTCCAGCTTTTTTCTGCTTATGTGGTACTGAGGAATCAAACCCAGGGCCTCATGCATGCCAGGCAAGCTCTCTACCACTGAATCAACTTCCCAGCCCCTTTCAAATGTTTTTTTTTTATTTCTTTACATTTCCATGAGTACTAGAGTGACCTCTTCAGCTTTTGTTTTACGGGGTTGTATTAGTTATTACATCCCCACATATTCCACTGCATTCTGATATATCCCTACTTCTTAGTTTGGGGTAACCCGAGACAATCAGCTTATTCTGTCAGAAAACAAGTTTGGTTTTCTCTATAACTCTGTTCTGTTCAACCTGATCTACATGAGAATTTGATTGGGGGGGGGGTCTAAACAGATGCCTTTTCTTGATAGGTCCCCTCTTTAATCTTTCTTTTTTGCCAGTCCTGGGGCTTGAACCCAGGGCCTGGATACTGTCCCTGAGCTTCTTTTTGCTCAAGGCTAGTGCTCTACCACTTGAGCCACAAGGCCACTTCTGGCCTTTTCTGTTTATGTGGTACTGAGGAATCGAACCCAGGACTTCATGCATGCTACACAAGCACTGTACCATTAAGCCACATTCCCAGCCCCCATCTTTAATCTTTAAGTTACCCTGTTATCCTTCAGTGGTTTGGATGTACTGGGAAAGAAGTAGAATATGATTATAAAGTCCTTTCAGTTCTCGATCTTTTTTTTTTTTGTCAAATAACTTGGACTCATCAATGTTGAAAAACCCTTAATCATAGCTTCATTTATTTGAGAATAAATGCTCTATTCCTTTTGAGGCCAACAGAAGTTCCCTTTGCACTTAATGGACGTGGATATGTGTGTGTGGGTGGGTGGGGAGTGTCTTAATTGTTAAAGCAAAACTATCTACATTTAAACTAGCTTTAATTAATAGAATACAAAGAGGAGAACAGCTGACTTACCTAGGATGGTTACTTCAAAATGTCCAAGGCTGCGGGCACTCTTAAATTCCTGAAGTTTTGGAGGCTTTCCTTCTGGTGGTATGTACTTGGAAGGCTGAGAATTATACTGCTGAGTAAGAAACTTTTTGTGTTCTAAAATGAATTTCCGTGGAATACTTTCTGGGTAAACACAGCTGTACTTCAAATGGTCTTTTAAGCTAGGCCTTTTCTCTTTCAACAGCTGACTCTCCCACCTATCCTTGATGAATCTGATATTTCCTGTGGTATCAGTATTGGCACTTCTTGGGCCTGGGAAAGACACAATGAGACAGGCACAATGGAGGGATAAAGCTAGTCACTGTTCAAAACAAGTACATCTTGATGAGTACTAGTTAAGAAACTATAGATCAAAGCTGGGCACTGGTGGCTCATACCTGTAATCCTAGCTACTCAGGAGGCTGAGATCTGAGGATCAAGGTTCAAACCCAGCCCAGGCAGGAGAGTCCGTGAGGCTCTCATCTCCAATTAGCCACTAGAAAACTACAAGTGGCACTCTGTCTCAAGTAGTAGAGCACTTGCCTTGAGCTGAAGAGCAATTCACTTTCTTAATATTATTATTTTTTACTGTCAATTACTGTTATTGTTTTCTCTTGGAATTACAGAGATTTATAGTATCTTCTTTATGCTTTTTCTGGTTTTGCAAATGCTCTTAAATAAATATTCCTTTTCTATTTGGTGATAAAGTCAAGGCAAACTTAAATTCAGGATAATGGTACACTCGAGATCACTCATTACTGGTGAAATTTGAGCTTAAAATTATGTTAATTTCTGTTAAAAGTAGCAATAAAAAGATTATTTTTCATGGATAGTTCTTTCCTTCAAAAAAGTCTAGAATTCAAGCCCCACAAGCAACAAAAATAAGTTATTTTGATAGGACATTCCTTTCATATAAATAACACATGGAAAACAAAGAGGAAAATAAATTGAGATGAAAGACCTCCTCAATTCTTTCTTTCTTTTTTTTTTTTTGGTAGTGCTAGGGATTGAACTCAGGGCCTTGTATTTGCTAGCAAGCACTCTACCACTTGAATCTTGCCCCCAGTACTTTTGCTTCTGGGGTTTTTTAAGTGGGTCTCACACTTGGCCTTAGACTATGATCCTTCTGCATCTATTTACCAATTAGCTGGCATTACAGTTGTATACTATTATGCCTCTCTTTTTTGTGAGATAGTGTCTCACTACCTTTTGCTCGGGGTTGGTTTCATAGGTGACCTTCCTATCTCTCTCCTAAGTAGTTGCAATTACAGGTTTGTAACACTCACCCAGTCCTCTCCTCAACTCTTGATTATTCTCTACCATTAAATCAATTTGTCATATATGTACAATGAATCCAATTCAAAACAAATGCAATGCTTGTATCTTTATTATAGCAAAGTATCATATTATGAACCTTATCAGGAATAGTTAAAATTTTTTCTCTTTATATTTTTTATTTGGTTGTTAATATTAAGGATTATCCAGGTATAAAATCTCTAAAATTGTGCATTAATTTTATTTTAGTTACTTGGGGTTATAATTACTCATTTCAATTAAATATTCATAATTTTCATAATTAATGAGTACAAATGAAATAAGTGTGAAATCAATTCTGGAGACATAGTTACTGGTAGTGAATAGCAACATTTCAAAAGGATAGTAGGAAAGTGACAAAATATATTTAGAATTCATGTTTTCATAAAGAATGAAAAATTACAAAGTAGAGGTATTGTTTTAGCTTGAATAGTACTAAATGAAACAGGTGTTTTAAAGCTAAAGCACAGCAAAATTATATTTTTGTATTTTATAATTATAATGATTACTTATTTTACTTGAACATTTTATCCTTATTTCTACTGACTGTGTTTTAAAGAGAAAAGATTTAAGTAGCTAACTACATTTAGACTGTGATGAAAGAAAGGACACAGTACAAATGTTCATAAATAGTCATGGTGATTATTTCCCTTACAAAGTGATATTTTGAGCATTTTATGTATGTTTTAGAGAGGTAGGTAAGGGTGTACAGAGGCATGGGGCAAGGGGAAGAGCTATTACTTGCTCACAACTTTCCCCTTCCCCTTCTGTGATCCCAGGTGCTACAAGAGCTACAAGGCTCCAAGAGCACAGAGGACTTCATTTAGTGATAAGGTCTATGCTTGGGGCAGCATATAATAGGCTTTTCAAAGGATTGCAAAAGTCAAAGGGTACGGGTGATCTTGTGATGTCTTGTGCTCATGGTTGTAATGCTCTTGTTTATTAACTTTTCAAATGTATATCTTATCAAATTATGTGAGTCACTAGATATGAAGATAAGACTAAACTTTGCAGATTTCAAAATGCCTAGTACAAACCAGGTATTTGCTAAAGTGTTGGCAAAATAAATGACTTGAATTTACATAGAAAAATGCACAGCTATTATGAAACATATTTTAGGCTATGTTATAATTAGGTCGGCATACATGTAATTTACTACCACTGCAAAATAACATACTAGTATATGAATATTATATACATGTATGTATTTTTCTTGGTTCTGGGGCTTGAACTCAGGGCCAGGGTGCTATCCCTGAGCTTCTTTTGCTCAAGGATTGTGCTCTACCACTTCAGCCACAGCTCCACTCCCAGCTTTTTGGTAGTTTATTGGGGATAAAAGTCTTAGGGACTTTCCTACTTGGGCTGGCTTTGAACGTTGATCTTCAGACCTAAGGCCTCTTGAGTAGCTAGGATTACAGGTGTGAACCACCAAACATGCTATAGTTTACTTACATATTCCATGTTAATTTTTAGTTTTTATTTTTCTCTATTATAAACAATATTTTAAGAAACATCTTAGAACATATTTCCTTTTGTGACTAATATGTAGTTAGAATTCCTAGATGGCATGATATATAATGCATTATAAAACAAATTAAGTATTGCCAACTTGCTTTTAAGGGATAGTTGTAGCACATTTATCTAAGAAAGGGAAAGCATGAACATAAATATGTTTATATTATAAAAACAAACAATGGAAAGATACACCATTGAATGAATTAAAGTTCCCTGGTGAGAGTGAATATTATGAATGAAATAACATGTGGGAGACAAGGACTGAACTTTTAATGAGTATCCTATGTCATATTCATACATAGACAATACATCTCCATAGTAATCATCCTCCATCATCTCTTTCCCTCTCTTCCTTCCCCCTTATCCTTCAAATAGGCCAAGAGTTTCAACTGTGTTGTGTGTATGTGTGTTCTAGATACTGCAAATTAAAAACATACAATATTTGTCTTCAAGAGTTCAGCTTATCTTACTCAACATAATGAGCTCAAGTTAACTTTCCTAAAAATGACATGATTTCATTTTTTGAAGGCTGAGAAATATTGCATGGCATACATGTGCCATCTTTTCTTTATTCCTTGATTGTGAGGAACCTTGGCTGATTCCACAGCTTGCTTATTGGGAACAAGGCTTCATCAAAACCTGGGTATACAGCTATCTCTCTCTATTGATTCACATTCTCAGAGTAGACTGGTAGAGTCATAAGGTGATCTATTGATATTATTTTTGAGGAATCTCAATCTCCATACTGATTTCCATATGGTTGCACTAGTTAGGTTCCCATCAACAGTGTGTAAGGGCTCCATCTTCCCCAAGTCTTCCTCAGCATTTGTTGTTGTTTGTTTTCTTGATGACTATAATTCTGACTTCTGTGTGATAAAATCTCAGTGTAGGGGGAATGAGGAGAGGGCAATAGGGGAGGTTAAGCTGACTAAATTATAATATATGCGTATGTAAAATACCACGGTGAAATCCCTTTGTATAATGTATACATAGCAAAAAATGAAAAATTGAATGGCAGAAAAGTAACACAAGATCTCTTGGAGGGCAGAATTGGCAGAATGGGGGAGGGTCTACAGAGTCAGTGCATAGAGATGAATATGATCAAAGTACTTTATATAGGTGTATCAAAAAAGATCAATGATATCTATGGAAAATTTTTAGAAAGAGGAGGAGGGGGTGAGAGAGATGATGGGGTAAGATTTATTGGACTACCTTATACAACTAATATATTCTAATAAAAAATCTTAAAAACTCTTCTGAGCTAAATTCAGAAAATGTAAATGTAAGGAAAGAAAAAAATAGTAGCCAATGTATAAACTTCGGTATATTTGACTTGGAACTATATGAAAGATGATATGAAAGATAAGCTGAGACCCCGTAGCTCATGCTTATAATCCTAGCTACTCAGGAGGCTGAGATCTGAGGAACACGTTTCAAAGCCAGACTGGGCAGGAAAGCCCATGAGAACCTTATCTCCAATTAACTACCAAAAAAATCTGGGCATGGAACTGGAGTCAAGTGCAGAGCACTAACCTTGAGCACAAAAGCTCAGGAACAGCATTCAGGCTCCGAGTTCAAACTCCAGGACCAGCAAAAAAAAGTGAATGTAAAATATTATATGCACACATGAAAATGTCCTGATCAAAGTTATTGCCAATAACACAAATAAATAAAAAGTAGCCAAATTGTAAAACACAAATCAAACATTTAAAGAAAGCAGTACCTATCATTTGAAATAAAAGAAGTAAACCCAAATATCAACTTGATAGTGGAACCATAAAGGATTATTGCCAGTAACTTTATATAGTAACTTGACTTCATAGGTCTAATGGGGCTATACTTGAAGGGATAAAGACCTTCAAAACAAACAAAAACCTGAAAATGATTATTCTGTGTCTATTTTTATATGGGGTAGGTAATATGGTTTAGATGTAAAGTGCATCTTCACTTTAAAATAAAAAGAGTTGCTAGATTTAGTCACTGAAAGGTGATTGGTCTTAAGGGCCCTTACTTAAATGGATTTACTTAGCTGGCAAATTCTTAACTGATGTATTATTGGGACATAATAACAAAAAGGAGGTGGAGCCTCATTAGAGGAAGGAAGTCACTGGAGGGAATGCCTGGGTCCCCGATTCTCTTATTGTTTCTGCTTCATGGCTATCATGAGGTCAGCAGCCCTATCATGCCCTTTCAACCATGATGTTGTGCCTTGCTTCAAGACTAAAAGCAATGGAACCAGCTAGTCATTGACTTAAATCTCTGAATATGTGATTTAAAATAAAATCTTCCTCTTTTTACTTATTTTGTTATAGTGACAAAATGACTAATACAATGGGTAATGCAACTTAGTTAGTATGTAATACTCTGACACCCCTAGGGTTTTTCAGAGCCAGAATTTCTGAATAGAAAAAAAATCCTCTTCCATTTTATTCTAAGTGAAAATT